CACAAGTCATGCTTATCACCTTTCTCATCAACTGCATGTTTGTGAGTTCAGCTGTTTGGGGTGTTTTTAATTTATTTTCTCTTGGCAATTTATTTTCTCGGGGATGTTTCCTGCGGTTTCGCACAGGTGAGGCACCAGAGACCCCCAAGGCCAGCACCGCTGGCGCTGAGCCAGCGCCCCGCTCAAGGGCGGCCTTCGGGACTGAACGTGAGGTAAAACACGACTTCTGGGGGGCTTTGGGAGCAAAACTGAGGAGTGGGGTGTGGTGATGCAGACCAGCCTAAGCCCTACCCCGCACTCGGGGTCTGAAAGAGTCTCCTGCGCCTCACCACGTCACAGCCCCCAGCCCCACCGGGGAGAAGCAGGAGGGAAGAAAGGGGCCTCGGCCCGCGGGGGGCAGGGCCCGCCTGCCCGAGCAGACACCGGAGCGGCGCGGACCCCCCATGCAAGGTCTGTCCGCACCAGCCCCGACAGCGCCCCAGACACCCAACGGCCCCTCCGAGCGCGTCCCGCTGGCGCAGAGGGTCGCGCCTGAGCCCCCCACTCACCACTCATGGTGGCCGCGGGGCCCGCACCCTCCGTCCGCTAGACCCGCTCCCTCCTCCCGCACAGCCCTAAGCCGGGCCGGCCAGAGCACGCACTCCGCCCCGGAACTCCGCCCCGCCGCCCCGGAAGGTAAACATCGCTGCGGGCACGGCGGAAAGCCCGGCTGCCACCTTCCCCCCGGGAGAGCCCCCCGGGAGAGCCCCCCGGTGCCGCCCCCGCTTCCCGGGAAACCCAGCGGCCCGGCCTGTGCCGCAGCCCTGCCGGGAAGTGAAGACGTACCAGACAACTGGGAGATGAGGGAGAGGGACGTAAAATGTTCGGTATTGCCCCACGTGCTTTGTAAGCTAGAACTCCCAAAAGATTCATGTTTCAAAAAAGCAGGACAGGAATTGTAAATACTCCAATTAAAAAATAAATAAATAAATAAATAATGAAGTAATTTACTTAATTGCTGTAAGCTCACTTAAAGGCCTCATCTTGTTGATTGGTATTTGCACACGACCTAAATGCAGTGCTGTGTTTGCCAGATACTGCTCCACACTCTGTTGAGCCATGGACCACAACTTGTCTTTTAAGAGTTCCTAAAAAGAGTAATAATAATTAATTTAATAGCCCTGTAGGTCTATTCTAGAGTTTTTGGCTACGTGTGGCCTGACCTGCACAGCTCTCGAAACGGGGCCAAACTTTGTGGTCACCTACAGATGCTGTAACAGTGATCATTCACAGATCTTCAGCAATTGTTTACTAGTCCTAAAACATCGTAATTCATCATTGATGCAATAACTTGAAATAGAAAGTTATGTACAATAAAACGATTCTTACTGCTTTTTCAGTTGTTGCAGTTTTCCAGGAATAAAACTGGCCTAATACTAAAAAAATAACACTAATGCTTGAGAGGCAAGATGACAAAAGTATATTCCCAATTTTAGACCACACAGTAGCCTAGCGTGACTGTATCTAGTCAGCAATACTTGTACTTATAACAAAGGTAAGTAAAAAAATTAGTAGAATGAAGAAATCTTTATAGAATATAGTCTGAAAAACACTCATGGGGAGTGCAGGTGTGGTGTTCCACAGCACCACAACCTCCTGTAGGGTGACCCAGAGATACTATCTGAACCTGAAGGGACTCTGTACCCTACAAAGAGAGTCATCACTAGAACATTCCTATTTCAAGCATCATAGGGACTATTTAAAATTATTCATTACAAGACTGAAGTTGTAACGTGCATCTTCATTTCTGCCTCTTGGAATATTCCTTGTGTACCATCAAGCAATTTTTGGCACAAGATCTGAATTTAACGTAAAATATATATTTGCAAACTTGTTTATTGATGGGTTTGTATATATCTGGCATAAGTAGATACAATCACTAAAGGCAGAAAAAGCCATGCTATGTAGGGACTTTCAGAAATTAAAAATTCCAATAACTATTTTAGCACCTGAGAATAATATAGAAATACTTAACCCAGGAGATCCTAGAATTAGAAATAATTTGGCAACATTAATGAAAGCTCAATAGAAGATATATAATGATGATGTATTAGCCTTCTCCACTAACTGCAAGTATTACTAGCTATACTGGAACAACTTGTTTATTATTATGCAGTAAAAACATACTTCTCTCATAGTCATCCAGCACCCAGAATATAGTTGCAATAATCAAAAGATTTAGTGGTAACTAGAACAGTAGCTCCTTCTTCTGTAGCTGGTAATGGAAATAAAGTTTCACAGCCAGTCTGAGGTTTTACCAAGCCACAATCACTGCAAGTGCATTCTTCCACCGAATACATTAATGTTTCACTTTGAAGTGAGTGTCTAATTCCTTCTGTATTCATGCTGCTTTCAGTATTAGCCTTGAGAATATTGTGCAGCTCCAAAGAAGAGTCTGTAAATATACAGAAGATGATTTACTACATACATCATGCTGTACCAGACATACAATTTTTCAAGATCCATATTTCATTATGTTTCAACTATGTTCCTAACATTAGTGGAAGTTTTAAGATGTAGTTATACACTATAATATTTTGTTCTATGACAATATATCCCATATACTTCAAGAGAAGCATTGAAGTAATCTAACACATTTTCTAATCAGTTATTATTTATTGGCTGAACACTCCACAAATACTAGTCTTTTTAAAACATAAACTAACTTAATTGTTTTCACCTTCCTAAAATAAACCACATACAATTCTCACAGGCTAAAATATTAAATAAAATTATTTAATGTCTTATAAGAAGGAAAGCTAATATTGAATATTAATCCTCTACCTGGGTAGAATTCCTTTTGCTACTGAGGGTTCATAAATGATTTGTCAAAGATCAGCAAGGCAGGTAAGAATATGCAACAAAACAATTGCAACATGATCCAGAACCAACGGAGACTGCTGCTTTCACAATTACCACCTGGGTATTTTATTCCCTAATAACTTTAATATCTTCATTGAGACTATTTGAGCAATACAAAACAACCTGACAGTTATCAGAATCTGCAATATCAATTATATGCAAAATGTATACACGGTAATAGTAGCAAAAGTGTACAATGATCTAAAATTATTTTATAAAGAATGTTATTTATTCACCTGTGTTTTTCAGATTTTCTTTTAGTTGCTTCATGTGCTTCCATTTAAACAAGACCATTAAGGTGAACAGAGTGAGGACTATAATTACTCCTAAGCCCAAACAAATCCAAAGAACTCCACTTGAATCAGTACCTTATAAAATTAAAGAGATGCATTAAATTAATTGTAAACAATAAGTAATTAAGAGTAAGCATGTCCAACACAGAAACCTTCTATATCAAAGTAGCTATTTCTATTGAGTGATAGCACAAGTAAAGCTTGAGAGCTTTAAAAATTTACTCTTCTTAACACACACACTCATACAGGATAACACTGCATACACCTAATATTTTTGAGCTCATATATTACTTTGGTAAATCTAAAATCTGAGAAGAGTCTAAGTGTTTACAATTCTATCTAAAATGTGATGTGAAAATGCCCAGGATAGCCACAAAGTATCGCAGAAATATTACTTACTCTTATCACAGTAGTTTTCACACAAAGGTGGTGGTGTGCTAGAACATCGAAGATGACAAGGTGTACAGGAGAGCAGCAGATTATCAAAGTATTCATCCTGGGGGCAGTGTGCCATCAGAGTCAGTAATTATGGAACTGGAAAGCCACAGAAATTATAAGAAAACGAGGATCATCTAACAAAGCCTTTTCAGTTGTCAGTCTTAGCAAATCTAAGAACAGCTAACAATAAATTAGACTTCAGTAGCAGCTCTACTATGTAGTATCATGTTAAATAAAAAAGATTTAACTCCCAGGCCCCTAGGGAATTACTGTTCCTTTTTTGGCAATTCACAATTCTAAAAAAACTGAACAGCTGCACCAAGATAATTTTCAATGTAAATTTTGTCTGAAACAGAAAATGCTTATTTATAGAAGACATTGCTTGAACAGGTGCTAAACATTACAAACTAGAAAAGCAGGAAGATCTCCAAACAGGAGAATAAGAATAATAATAGCTATTCTTTAGAATTTTGTGGGTTTTTTTCATGGTGATGAGCTACAGTAACTATGCTTTCCCATAACGTGCAAACTATGCAGTGCTTTTTTTTTTTTTTCTGTCCCCATTCAAAGAGCATAAGATGAAAAAAAGAGAGGCAGGACACATAGCAGTAAGAAGATATGACTGATTCAGTTTCTAGGTTTGCTACTGACTCATGCTGCAGCTTCAGTCAATTTCTTTCATACCTGTTTCCCTGTATGTATATTTAGAACACATAGATGATGAAGGATGATGTCTGCTTTTAAATTAGATACTGTTAAAGTTCAAGTACAACAATTATTTCATAATTGTGTCATAAAAAAATACATCTAAGACCTTCAGTTTTAGTGGAAAGACAAAATCTAGATATTCAGCCACTGGGATACTGCTCCTCAGATCCAAATTAGCCTCATTTATCTAATCTATTAGGTTTTGGTCAGTTTTTTTCCTTGGTTTATTTTGGGGGTTTTAGCTGTTTCTTTTCCTATAACTATGGTTATAGAAGAAATGTAATTAGATCGTGAAAGAAGACCTGTATGAATATTTTACAGATCTTATTTAAAACATTTTCTACATTTTTTCTCCTTATTTTTCCATCATGTAGAACTGTTACTGTATTAAAACTGTGGTACCCAGCACAGAAAAACAGCTGAGCCACAGATTTCATTCTCGTGGTGAAGCGTATGTGACACCTCCCTGCCAGCCAGGTGGCTGCATGCTGAGTACACAGACATCTGGCTGTGCAGTGAGTGTGTAACATTCCTGAAAATGCATTTGGTCTTTTCCCAGGTTAAAAACAAAGGAAAAAAAAGTTTGATAACAGACTGCAACAATGAAAATAACATACACACCTTACTTGTATCTTGACATTTTAATCTAATATAATTTATTTTAGATACAAACTTAAGCAGTAATATCTAGCAAGTTGCAATAAGTGCATCTATCCAGTATCACTGCCACAGTGAGATTAGAAATGCAGGCTTATTTATAGTTAAATTTCTCCTTGACATAATTAGGTTTATTGCCTTTTTGACTACAGAAAAATAAAACTATTATATACAAAATCGTAATTTCCTACTGCATTACTATGTATGAGACTTATTTTCCTACAAAATGCACCATGTGGGAATACACAAACTGTTTTTAGTGAAATAGTCTAACCAAGCACTCTGTGTTCTAGTCTCTGGCAGATGGAACTGCTTATTGTGGCATCTGCACTTGTTTCTATAGGCCAGGTGCACAGCTGTAGGCTTTCTGTTACAGGGTTTTCTCCCTATTCAAGATTAGTGAATAAACAGGAATTAACAAAAACTGATCTAGACATGACAAGAGAAAATATGGATAGAGTGTGAGTGATGCCAAAAATTTCTCCAGGAAGTCAATGCTGCTGCTGAAGTCATAAACTGGCTCTAACTTGCTTACATTAACCCTCTAGGGGAAGAAACCCAAGTTATTACTAGACTGTAATTCCTATTTCTGATAAAACACTGTTTTGGTAGCTTATGCATAGTGTTACATGTGGAGTGACACGAGTTTTTGCCATAAAAATGTTATTTAACCTCTTCAGTCATGGAGAGGACAATCTCATTCCCAACAGCCATCTGAAGAGGGCAGATAGACATTTACGTATTTTCATGGTATCCACAGGTAAGATAACAGAATTTCAGGACAAATAAGTTGAGTACAATGCTTTAATCCTTTACAATGTAATTCCATTAACTTTAGTGAAATGCTCTCTAATTTTACTTCAATAGAAAATTCTTCTGTGCCACAGCTGACCTTTCGATGAAAATTATTAAACCTTTGCAAAATATGGGTTATGTGATCCTGCTCTACTTATTACTGCAGTGTATCCTAAAACTGATACATATTTGATATATGGTACTTCTCATCTTCTCAGAGATGCTTCCCAGTAGATATGACCCAAATATGGGACTTCTGGGAAAAATATTAAAGTGTAAGTCCTGACATTACTTTGTGAGATGATTAACAATGAAAGGAACTACAAGATGTAACTCCTACTGTAGGCAGTACTACTAGAATCTTCACAACTACTTTACTTTTTTTGCTATTAAATTATTTCCTCTGTGTTCCTAGTCCAGAAGAAGGGGGGGCATCTGCTTTTACTTATTGGCAATGGTTTTTCTTGTATACACAAAATACCCCTGTCTCCAAAACCACATCCTGTCATTGCACTTTAATACAGCTACTCTATGATATGCTGAAGGGTTCATATTGTGATTCCTAAAATATTTGGACACTCAAATTTAATGAGATATATCCTAAATCAAACTATTTTGGCACAAAGATGATTCATCTCTGATTAGTAGGACTGGTCTGTAGATCACCAAAGATGTGGTTAGATTATACACAGCTAAGCTGATTAAATGCCTTGGTGTTCGTGAAACAAATAGTGCTGCTCTTCTCTCTGTAGTATTCTGAAGCACAAGAGAGGGCTCTGGGGCTTTCCTGACCACATGGCAAGCAGCTTTAATTTGTTAATCCTGTCAGTTCATGGAGTTTTGCTCCCTTGGGCCTGAAAAATAAGGCCAGAAACAGAACAGAAAAAAAGATAAACAACTAATCACGTAGTGGGGATGAAACTAAGCCCACCACAGGAGCACAAATTTGGTGAACTAACGCACCAATGCCTTCATTTTAAAAGTCCTGTCAAACTCTAAGTACAATAGAAATTAATTTGTGTCTAATTATTTGATATTGTGTATATGGGATCATAATATATTGTAGCAGATACGCTTACACTTTTATAACTGGTTGGCCAGAAAGAGTTTTCCTATGTGGCAGGTTAGAGTTCAAACACATTTGTCATAAGACAGTCAGTCATCTTTTCAATCAAACTCTAGGAAACCTTCCCTTAAGTAAAAGGTAAAATACTGTTCATTTCATCAGAGCTCTGGAGAATCCTGCTGTCTCTTTCAGCAATCATTTTCCTCCTACAGTTGGACCACTGTTTCCCAAAGCTTACAGCCTTCAGAGATAAATTATTTTGATCTATATTCCCCAAAGCACATGCCCCTTGATTATTAAACAATACATTTTTCACACATATAAACAACCACCATACAAATAATACTCTTTTCTCCTTAGCTATAAATAATTTTATTGATGTATATAATGACAAAACAGAGGAAGCAAATTATAGAAAAACTATGAGGAATTATAGTTGTTATGGCCTATTGCCTTTGTTTTCTGCACATCCTAACATTCACATGTCCTATTTCTCAAGGATCTGAAAGCAAGCATGTAACTAGAAGACACTGATAAGCAAGAATTCCCAGTGACAGACCTTGCTACACATCTAAAGCACACATTATTTCAAAATCTATGTCCTGTGGTTCACCTGTTGCTTTCACTGACTACATGAGACTTCCCAAAACTTCTGAAGACAAGTGTCTATGATGTGGTTTTGAGATTACATTTTGGGAGACCATTTCTTATCTGCCCAGGCCTCTGAAAAGCATACTGCAAATATTTATTCTCAAAGCAGAAACTAATCCAACTTAACTATTTCTCAAATCAGTAAAACACTAACTTGTTCAACAGAGGATGATTTGATTTAAGTGTGCAGAAAATGTATTTGATAGTTATTCTGTAGATGGGTAATGGCACTTGCAATAACATGGATTAAGGGAAATGGTGTGCTAAAAGAGTAAGGAAGACATTTTCTATCTTAACAAGCTTTTTGTGCAACCTTCATTTTTGAGTAATTTTTATAGGAGGAAGTTAATATTAAAACAAAACAAAAACAAACAAACCAAACCTTTAAGCACTTTGTTGGGAGAAGTGTACTATGCCAGTTGGATTTAATATGAAAGATGTAATACTTGAATTCAGAAGCTGTTTAAAAAGTAGAATATTGAATTCAGCTAACCAGTGAAATAAAAAGCAGAAACATTAGGGATAAATTCATTAATTGACATTAAGATATGGGCATTATTACTTAGAAATTGTAGTTATATTGTGTTAATAATTTATCTACTGCTTAGTATAATGCACATTAAAGCAGCACACTGTTCTGTTTTATGTTGACACACAAAAAAGTCTGAGATGACTGGATACAGATGGTTCTCCTACAATGATATTTGACTCCAGGGAATAATAACTATATGGCACATTTACTAGTGAAGTTACATTTCAGCTATATTTCAGTTACAGGATTTACAGGGCTCGCATTGGCTTTCCACAGCTATATGTTGATACTAATAAATGCTTTCTCCTTGTCGCTTGATTTTGCTCCAAATAGATGACAAAAATTACTAGAGTTGTACAAAATAAGAAATTATTTATCAAAGATAATAATTGGTCATTTAACTGCAAATCCACAAAGTGTTGCCATGGAGGTATCTCTGTAGTTACATTACTGTAAAGTTCAAAAACTTTCCACTATGTCCTCTAGGAATAATATAATTCAGGCAAGTCAAGATGACTTGCTGGAGTTGACGTCATTACAAAATGTAATGGGAAGTACATTTAAGAAGAAAAACATCAACTGTGGAAACAACAGGGGGGGAAAAGGAAAAACAATTCCCAGATTTGATCCTAAAATGCTTCAGTCTGACTCAAGAGTGACACCCACG